GATTTTCATTTCTGAATATCACAAGCTGTCTTCATGTGACTGCCAGAGAATGATAAAATATGATAAAACATTACAGCAACAGGGTTTGTGTCTGGGGTACTATTCTTAGAGGTACATTGATCCACATAGATTTAAAACAAGGAGTGTGGGGAAGTGTATGCATCTTCCTGTTACACCATTAGTGCAGGAGAAATAGAGTAGAATAGACTTTATTACACACATCGAGGGAAAATTGTCTTTGGTTCACCAAGCCATAAACAAATCAAACAAATCATAGCAACACAGCATCTCATTATTTAGTATACTGATTGCTCTTGGCACAAATTACTCCTTTTATACCCTGAAATCACATTTTTTTCCCCATAGAATTGAGTTCTGAAGGAATCCTAAGCACACAACCACCACTGCCCCCTAACTTACCATTTCGCCTTTCCAACTACATCCCAGAAGCCAGGTCGGGGTATGCTGCATGGTCCCACAGTGGCCTGTTTATAGTAGCTGTAGAACTTGAGCATCATGTCATTGGAGGGCTGAAAGGGACCTGAGGAAAAGAAAACTCTCATCACATAAAAAAAGCCTTACCCTCCACGTGCAGAGTTGTGGCTGATTTCTATTTCTTTCAAATCTGTGATGGCTTGGGGACAAAGCAAGCAGGCCAAAGTGGATTATTTAAATCGCACAAGCTGCTGCACCGCACCTGCCCGGGGATGGCTGAGCTGGTTGAACTGGCCTGTGTGTGTATATGTGTGTCTGTGTGAGAGAGAAAGAGAGCTTCGAGTGAGGTGTTCACTCACCATTCGGGGGTAAACTCTTGATCACCTTCACGGCGGCATCAAACCTCATCTGGGTCAGGCGCCCTTCATCTTCCACGCGGACGCTCTCCACCTCCATCGTGTCACTCGCAGACAGCACAACAACAACAACACCTGCAAGCAGTAAACAAACTCACGACAACTGCAAAAAAACAAAAACAAAACGTTAAAAGCGTTTGTTTATAGCATTTATGCTAGCTCTGAGCAGCAGTTTGGTTTGTTTTCGTCTGCAAACGAGCAGACTTTTGCGACGCTAACGCGACCAGCTATACTTGAAAGTTAACTGTCTACAGTATGTTATGACCACCAGTAGGAGGAGGCTGAGCCAGTTGGATATCTAGGACACAACGTTTAACGTGTGGCACAGCTTTAGCGACACTGTCGTTTCCGCTAAACGGTATCTACACTGACACACTTTCGAGAAAAAAAACGCTTAAAACCGTCGTTACTTACCGTTAAAATCACGGGCCTATCTGTTTGTCAGAAGGCGACTTGTCATTAGCCCTTGACCAGACGCCATGAACAGCACACACTGTGGGAATTGTAGTCTTATTGCTGTATATAGACGGCGCCTACAAATTCCACAATCCTCTGCGTCCACATGAAGAAAACAAACAAAAAACGTCTGTGAAAATATGGTTTAGATATAAAAACAACATATTAAAGACAAACGAGTGAGAAAGCTGATGAGAAGTGAAATATATAATGTTACTTCGCTCTTATGGCTGAAAACACAAACTCATGTCGCGACAGTTCGACACGCAAAACTGCATATCCCAACATGCTCTAGACAGATCCATGTTTTTTCTTCTCCCCCTCCCTCTTCGTTGGAAAACTGATAGGTCGACAGCAGAAAAAAGCTAGAGCTCTCACTTTGTCCTTAAATCCTTTATCTTATTTGTCTGAAACACACCTTCTTCCCTAAAGCTGCGACACTGAACGCGATCCTACAATAACTGCATGCAATATTCTTCTACCTAATTCCGCGTCCACGCCTCGCGACATACATTCTGATGTAAAGTGGACTTACATTATATATACACATTACATATACATACCCTGCTAATATATATTCCCACATCTGTATAGGTATGTATCTTTCTGTATCTGTGGTTCAGTATGAACTCAGGGCTAGAGGTATGCTTAAAA